CAGTGCGCATCCATGATTCCACCCCGCATGACTCGAACCCAGGACCTATCAGCCTCGCGCGCAAGCGCTTAACATCAAGACTACTGACCCGGCTTCCAACTGTGTTAATGTCAAACTTCAACCAATCCATGACGTTGCACCACCGTCCACCATTGTCATCGGTGAGTTACTATCTCAGTTATTAGTTATATATCTACCTGAAAAAAGTTTTTTAAGTGAAATTATTCAATATAAACTGATTCAACAATAAATTTAATTTCTTATTTTATTAATATAGTTAAATTATTATCTTTTTTAAAAGGGTTATCATGTTGTAAAAAATGATTTTGCCACATGTCCTGGATGCCAATTTCCTGCATTATACAGTGAACTTATGAAGTAAGTTCAATTACATTATAACAGGACGAATATTTCAAAAGTTGGAACTGGTTTTTTTTTTGAATTATTATTAGCCATAACTTTGTTGTATAATTACTGAATAACTGGATTATTTTGTATACACATTACATTTAGCTTAATCTTTCGATTAGCCTATCAACTACGGTCATATGATATACCATTCCTAGTCAATTAATTACAGTCTTACTAATTCACAATACTTTTGGGATTGTTCATGCACAACTGTTATTTTTCATTATGTTATATTGTAGTCTGGCATATTTGTATATAAACCACGTCTGTTTAAAATATAAATATCCTAGAGGCTGTTTGCTACTTCTTGAATCAAGGCAAGATAAAGAGAGGAACATGTTTATTGTAGATCAATAGAAGCTTAGCTGTTATCTGAAAATCATTATTCCTAATCAGGCGTGTAATTAGTCAACTAAGTTGTCGAGATAATAGTAGACGTGAAATAGGCCAAATTAGAATCAGAAGCCTGATTAGTAAACCTGTAAGTGGTATTTTTCAGCGGTTCCTAATCATGACAAGTTAAATTATGTAAATTTATTTTGAATAGGATTTGTTTTCTTTGTTCATTTAGAGATTCATTCAAGTCTTCAGTGTAACATTGTATGTATTAAACCATTTCAGTTGTAAGACCTAAAAGTAGTTTAGTCATTCATCTGTGAACCTTTTGGTGCACACTTCTATGAACTCACAGACAATAACAAAACACTAGTTTAATGCGCTTTGAGTTTTTTTGCAGTTTCTCAGCTGATCTCAGTTTGTATGATTTAAAAGCCATGGTAAAATTACCTTTTGGACAAATTATTTATTGTCACTGCTGAGAAGTCCCACAACAGAACGGCACGGCCATCCAGTGCTTCCAGATATTCCATGGTGATCTAGCTTCAATTGACTCATGATCTCAACTAATGACTTTATTAAATTGTTTTATACTAATTAAATTGTCACTATTGGAAACATTATAAGTTTCATTTATACTATACAAATACTTTTTTTTGGTTGCTTATAGATATGTTGAAAACTACCCAACACCAATTTGTCCAATGTGTAGAATTCATCTAACACGTGATAGTATTCGACGTTTACTTGACTCAAATGATATTTTAAATCAATGGATTAATTCATTGAATGTTGATAAATGTAAGGATGAATTAAATGAGAAGAAGAATATAGAGTTAATTAAATAAACAATGTTAATGCGATAAAGTAATGAGAATATTTATTTCGATGATTTAAAATAATAGTTTGTTTTTCTTTTCATCATAATAACAAAAATAAAATTTAAAAAATGATTATCATTTACTGTTCTAAAATGGAAAAATTCTTTCTTTATAACAGAAATTTCGGGCATCTACCAGTGTGGTTAAGCAACTTACTTACTTACTTGCACCTGTTACTCCCAATGAAGCATAGGCAGCCGACCAGCATTCTTCAACTCACTCTGTTCTGATCCTTACTTTGTAGTTCTAACTAATTTTTGTTCATTCTTCCCATGTCTGTCTCCATTTCTCAGCGTAATGTGTTCTTAGGTATTCCTCTCATCCCTTGACCTTGAGGATTCCAACTGGGGGCTTGCCTTGTGACGCAGTTGGATGCTCTCCTCAATGTGTATCCTATTTGTTTCCAGTGCTTCTTCCTGATTTCTTTCTCCACTGGGATCTGGTTTGTTTTCACACATAGTAGGTTGTTGTTGATAATGTCTGGCCAATGGATCTGAAGTATTTTGCGTAGACAATGGTTATTAAACACTTGTATCTTCTGGATGATTACTTTCATAGTTCTCCAATTCCCCGCCCCATACAGTAGAACTGTTTTGACATTTGTATTGAAAATTCTGACTAGTGTTTGTTGACAGTTGTTTTGAGTTGCAGATGTTCTTCAGTTGTAGATATTCTGCCCTTGCTTTTCCGATCCGCGCCTTCACATCCGCACCTGATCCACCGTGTTCGTCAATGATGTTGCCCAAATATGTAAAGGGTTTTACATCTTCCAAATTTTTCTCCATCAATTGTGATTGGATTGGTGCATGCTGTGTTCTATTGGAGAACCTTGCTTTTCCCTTTGTGTATGTTGATACCTATTGCTACTGAGGCTGCTGCTACACTGTTTGCCTTCTCCTGCATTTGTTGTTTTATGTGCGATAGAATAACCAGATCAACTGTGAAGTCTAGATCGTCCAGCTGTATCCTAGTTATCCACTGTATCGCGTGCTTCCCCCCAGACGTTGACGTCTTCATGATCTGATCGATCACCAGGAGAAAGACAAAGGGTTAGAATAAGCAACCTTGCCTGACACCGGTTTTTTCTTCGAACGAGTCTGTCAGCTGTCCTACATACACGATTTTGCGGTTCAATCCATCAAAGGAATTCCGTATGATGTTGACTATCTTGTCGGGCACTGCTTAGTGTCGAAGAAGCTTCCATAGTGTTTTTCTGTACACTGTATCAAATGCTTTCTCTTGGTCAATGAAATTGATGTAGAGTGGTAAATTCCATTTAATTCATTGTTCCACAATGATCCGTAGTGTTACGATTTGGTCGGCACACGATCGATTCTTACAGAATCCAGCTTGTTGGTCTCGAAGTTGGGCGTCTACGGAGTTTTTTATTCTGCGTAAAAACACCCTATCACAGACGTTTCCTTGTATTGAGAGAAAAGTGATGCCTCTGTAGTTCCCACACTCGCTGAAATCGCCGTTCTTACACATTTTCGAAATTTACGTATAGTAAATCCCCAGTGAAGTATATTGTTGTGTAACGATAAGAATATTGAATGGTGTCATTTTCTTATTGGTCATTATTTATTTCACGTGTCGTTTTCCTACTGGTCAATATTGTACTATGTTATTTTCTATTTTATGGTACGTTGTGGTCTGCTTGATCAGTATATAAACAAAGTATGTTTGAAATATAACGATTCATATTTCAGAGGCTGTGACTTCTGTTCTGGACTCAACTGGCTGGGCTAGACAGGGAAGCAGGGGCAATCAGAACTGTAGGTCGTTCTTACGTGCTTTACGCGTCTCTGGTGCAATCGATAGTACACTGCTCTCTAAATCTTTCAGTTAAGGGCAACAATTGGCACGGGGTATAAATCGATCCAAGTTCAAGTCACAACATATATCTTAAAATAGCTAATTCGGTAGAAAAATGTAGTGAACGAGAACTCAAATATGGACACTCAGATGTATTTGGATACAAAACTACAGAGTATCTTAGTAAAAGCTAAGAACCATACAGTAAATACCACATTTGCAAAGGATCAATCAATCGTCTCAGACTTCTTTCGTTCCACGTCAAACATTCTCTGTTCCCGTTCTCATTTCTTTGATCTTCTTAACATTCTGACGCTAGGCATTTCGCCTCATAGCCTAATGAGTCACCGATTCCACGAGTCCATCAAATTGTTCAACGAGTATGATTTTTATACCATTATACATCAGCTTATACCAATTATGTCAATGAATAACCAAAATACAGTCCTAAATATCAACAACGGAATAATCAAAGCCTTTACCGATTATAAAATTATCGTAACCGCTGGGCAAGTTAGAGACTATATCGAATAAATAGTTTTCTAGATAATATGTTAACTGTTTGTCGATAAAGGTACTTAGTTTGTACTCCAAAGCGAACATTAAAACTGGAATCCTAGTGAATCCAACTGAAGAGTCCCAAATAGACTGAAATACTTATCCAGAATTTCATTGCTAGTCACAATCTCTTTACTCCATTCAAATATTTCTGTACTGTTTAGAAATACAAATAAACGATAAATACAGTCATTGAGATATCACTAATTCTGTGCAGATAGATTATTAAATAGATAATCTCAATGACTTCGAATAAATGTAAAAATAATTTGATAAATATAAGCCCATTCTATAACATGCGACGAATCAAAACAGATTATTCACGCGCTATCACTAAACGAGTATATAGAATATCTATGACAACGAAATATCTAACCAAATAAATTTCTTCAACAAAGAATACACAGTTGATACCAAACATACTATGAACTTAACAAAACTTCATTTCATTATATACCTAGTGAAAAACATAAACAGATTTACAAAAACTATTAAGTATCCCAACAATATTGTCAACATGATCTGACCTGATTATCGATGTATATAATAGTCAGTAATCAACCATATATCCACAATTCATTTATGCATGACAAGAATATCTTCCCCTCTAACATTATATTTGTTTCATGTAAGTTAATAAAACATTAAATAAACAAACAATATATTTACAGTCCAATGAATCAATCACTTATTGAATGCCAGTCTTAGATAAAGAATATAAATGCACAATCCTTTACAGTAACAACAAGAAATAATATCTATATACACATCGATGATAAGTCAACGAAATAACACGAATTACACTCTCAAAGAATTCCACTTATGAATGACAGAACGAGATAAATCAGTTTACTTCATAAAAAACATTAAATAAACGTAATGTTATTGAAATACGCTAAATATCGATTCACTGGAATGCACTGCTGACATTCCATCACATGTTCATTAAATACGAATTTATAATCAGTTTTTACGAACAACTGAATTACAATAAATAAACGAATAAGTAAATATCAATGTGCGATTTATAGAAATAAAGGGTAAATTTATTCACATAACTCAATGATTTTCACTATAAACTAATTATAATGAGAACAGATTTTATGTGTTTGTTATTCGCAATTGCTCTAAACTCAATTCTATGTGTAACAGTCCATCGTAACAGTCAATTGAATCAAGACCATGAAAGAATTAATGCAACAATGGAAGAAGGAATCTCAGATTCAACAAAACACAATTCTGACTTCAGGAAAACGGAAACGAGAGATAATACAAATAGACAGTCCCTGGGAAAAACGGAAGATTCACATTCAAGTAAAAATGATGATGTCGGATTCCACTCTTCACAACGAAAATTCCAACTCAAATACGCAAATCAAAGAAGAAGTGATATTTATACTACCGGTTACCAAACATTCCTCGGAAAACGTAGACGAGGCAGTAAATCACATGTGAAAACCATATTCAGAAAACGTTCTGGCTACAATCACAATGGTCAAAAGAAACGAAGTTCCACATTCGAAAGTTATGGTGAGGCAGACAGTTTCGATAGAAAGAAAATACGTGATGTGTTCGATGTGAATGGATATATTTCGGAGGGTCGAAAGCGTAGTAAACTCGGTGGATACATCCAAGAAAATCAACATGCGTTTATGTCAGGTGGACATAAGTCGCAAATTTCTCGAAATGATAGCATATCCCTTGAGGGCAGTGGTAGCTCCGTAAGTGACACAATAAATCAAGGATCTAATACTCGCACTTTTAAGGACATTAAAAGGAATTCAAGCAGTAGCCTAGCACGACGTCGAAGATGAATTAAATAAATATCTTAAATTTACACGTCCACACGTTAATGGAGATTCCTTGTTCGAAATTAATATTCAGTTTCCCATTACTGTTCCTTCGAGAATCATAATAAATTAAACTATATCAACCATGAACTAGTGACATAAACTGACAATGAATTCCATCCATCATCTGTTCACATCAACAATCAATATGATTTTGTTCTTGCCAATCCCTCATTCTTTTCTTTAAAATCTTTTTTCACAATCAATGTGTGTTAGCTACATTAGGTACACTCTCATCATCATATTGAGTCCTAGTTTACGAAATTCACTACTTTCATCTCCCTCATCACCAGAAGATGAAATCTCTTGAAAACCATTTGTATTCTTCTAAATCACATTTGCAATCCCTAATAATTCACTGTAACAGACCATGCACTGTAAGAACAGGTGGGTAAATGTATTCGAAAACAAAATACACCACAAACATTTCCTTTCATTCACACCTATCAATCCAGTCAAATTGCACCGTACACTTTATCTATTCACACGTGGATTACCAATCATGTTATAGGATGAACATGGTAGTTGAAACAAGAAAATGATAGAATGATCGCGTTTCCGATGCACTTGTCTACGTATAAATTTCAGTGCTCTCATCCTCAATTGTCTTAGATGATACATACGGATGGTTATACGTAGACAACACATTGAACCCTGTTTACAATACATTATATAAGTCATATAGTTATTTCAAACTGAACTTTCTTCCTATAGGACGTAGTATTATAATGAATGTCTAATCCGTACACGACTATTTGAATTTCGGTTCCAACATCTCAAGTACATTCGGTTTCAAACTGAACCAGAACATGTCTTCGATACTTAGTAATTCTCTTCTATCCTTTTACATTGACTTTCACAAATAATTCAAGCACCACACCACTGTTGATTACAATGAGTTTAATTCATCTATCCACTTCACATCCATCACATGAAATGCCTTGATGATCGATTCGCAATGAAATATTTTTAACAAGTGAAATCTTCCGACATTTGGTTTTCAATTCATTAATCAAGATAAAGTGTGATTACTCTAATGACATGATATGGATAGGATTGACTCTGAGATCAGATGCATCTAGTTAGTAGGGATAGAAGGTCTTGTCGATTACATCAGTATTCAACGTAAACCAAACCACAACCATTTCACAATTAGTTAATCACTGAGTAGTGAACAATGTCTCGTATTTCATGTCCTTCATGATGCTGATAGATAGAAATGAAAATGTCAAGTCACTTACACTACTCTTAACCACATTCCAGTTTGATCTACAGAATTCAATCAGCTCATGAAAGACAAGAGATAAACGGTATTGGTCACTACCAAATGATCAATCGATCGTAAATACACTTCAGTCCTACAGAATATCATTGTAGGCACAAAGGAAAAATGATCGAGAAAGAATTATGTCTTTGACAAGATCAAGTGTGTGAAATTCTGTTAGACCTTACATTGGGATGATAGTGTTATTTAGTATTTACTGCTAGATTTCGATCTGTGAGGAAAACTGACTTCCACAAGATAAGCACCAAAGTTATGAAAATATGGAAAATAATGCGCTCTTGGTCCCGTTTTAGCTTGTTGATAAACTGCTATTAAGTTTAGACAGCTATCAACTGTCATTAGCACTATCGTATGTTGTAACTATTCTTTGCGCTACTACTACAGGAACTACGGGCATGGTAAACACCACAAATACCTTACAAGTCCAGGTTTGTAACTAATTTATGTTTATTATTCAATAAAGAACCGCTTTTTAGACAAATTGCACATACCTTGATTGTGTAATTTAGACGCTTCAATAGATATAACAGTCTATGTGATGATAATTTGTTATTCCTAAAACTAGATTTTATCTATCTTACAATTTAGTTTGATTTGACAATTCCTCCAACTGCATTTACCATTTTACATGTAAGTACCAATACACATAGATTGGAAGACACGAGAGAAGAGTACATATTCGCCTTTCCAAGCATGTTCCAAAGAAATTGAGTCTGCGAGGGACAAGGGCTCTTAACAGTGTAATTGCTTGGTATTTACTTGACACCGGGCACACCATTGACATTTCACAAGTCTTCAAAGTTATTAGCAGATAAAGAAACATAGCTTCTCTACGGTTTGCTGAGGCAATTGAGATAATAAAAAAACTCAAACGTGATTTTTGTATCCAATAAGAGACAGTAATCAACCTATTACTACACCGATGAATCATTTTTGTCATTACTTTGTTAGTGTTCATTTTGTTATGTGATCTTCCTTTACCGAATTCTCATTTTCTGTATATTAAAACCACCCCTTTACTCATACATTTCCATTCACTTAATTCTCTTAACTTATGTAAACTCTTCAAATCCTGTTCAATTATTACGCAACCCACCTTATCAGTTTAAGTGTCTTCAGTGGGTTCATAAGATTGTGGATAATTTATTTTATCAGAAGGGGTTTGTGGAGATTTTGAAAATTCCACAGATTGAAATCATGAGTCAGTGGAAAGTAGACCACCATGGAAAACCTGGAAGCACTGAACGGCCGTTTCGTCCTAGTATGGGACCGTCAGCAGCTCGCACCCACGATCCCGCACCACGCGGGACTCGAACCCAGGACCTACTGGCTTCGCGCGCGAGCACTTAACCACTAGACCACTGGGCCGGCACCCGACGGTGTTAATGTCTAACTTCAACCAATCCACGAAGTTGCGCCACCGTATACCGTTGTCTTCAGTGAGCTGATATCTCACAACAGGCCTGGTTATACTCCACTTATGTAAACTCTTCAAATCCTGTTCAATTATTACGCAACCCACCTTATCAGTTTAAGTGTCTTCAGTGGGTTCATAAGATTGTGGATAATTTATTTATAAAATAATCCTCGATCATGAAGCGTGTAGCTACAATCGTATATTTGCTGCTCCGCTCAAAATACCACATAAATTATCATACACTTTTCTACCTAGAAATCCAAAATGTTACAAACTTCACCTTTTTTATATATTTACCCATACTAAATAATTCTGATAGTGGGTTCATATTCGTTCTCAATAAACGTAACATGTAAGTATCTTGTTGGACCCATTGACAACATTCCACTAGAATCTTAAACGTCTGTAATAAGCCACATCAGGAACTATTGTGTGAGGATGGTACACCTGACAATGCTTTCTGTCAGTCATTAAGAAGTGACCAAAAGCAGCTCAGCAGACTGAAACACCAAAGATAGGTCGGTTAGAAGCAATTAACAGTAAACCGAAGAAATACGTTTCGTGATAGCTAACACTCAATAATATGGTGTACCTCCAGTCCTGATAGAGTTGATGCTCCATAGTGGATTCAGACTCAGGAAACGCAGGCTCACAGTCTGAAACGTTACAACCAAGCTGTTCTCACCACTAAGGTGAGATCAATTAATTTAAACCAACTATTATTGAAATTACTTGTGTGTTTTAATTTCTTGAACTACCATCTCTTCGGTCAATATTTATCGTACCATAAAAAGAAGCAAGCAAGAATGATGCTTCCGATGGTTAGTGACCAGAACAACTGTATACTGTTTGAAAACACTTTACATTTTCCTAACTCACTTAATGTTTGTAATGTGATGTCTAAGCTCTAAAACTAACGAAATTGACCTTAATCCAAATTTCTCATTCTTTTTTTACTCTAATAACTAAATTCAACATCAACTTCAAACACCTTTCTTAATAAATATTGATAGGCACACAAACTAGATTGAGATCTCTCCTCAAGTTGAAGTGATGGGAATGCATTTCAATGTGATGTTTCTTTAATGAACTCAATGAAATCCCTGTACAATACACCTAACATAAATAACTAACTAACTCAATATCGAACCATTTGTATGTAAATCATTTCACCAAAAACCGAAATCAAACATCAAATTTCAGCTACTCTACGTCTATTTAAATAAAAAATATCAGCGACAAAGATAATTTATGAGTCAATAGGATTTAAGATAGTAAGTCTTGAATCTTTACGCAAAATTCAGTCGTCTATATGGTTGAACATCATTTTATCATTATGGGTGATGTCACTTCGTGGAGAAAACCCCAAATCTAATTAATAACCTCATTTTCCAACTCTGAATCCTAATCCTATTTCCTCATACTAATCCATAACATTGTTTTGACCCTAATAAGTGATTGAATTTTCTTAAGGTCATTATGGCATCACTGAAAGTTCGTCGATAAATTATATTCTCATCGAATAATTTTTGATATATCTATCACAATACTTCTCTCGGAATTTGTTTTACATTTGTTTCTATTGCTTTGAACAAATGGATTCATACAAAAAGATTTTTTATTTAATAAGTGTCCATTTAACAATCTCCATTTCACTTGCCTTGTCAGAGTTTTGACAGTTGTTCTCTTACTTCACATTTTCATTCAATAAAGTCTACTTAGTTTAACCATTAATTTCTATAGATGTAACATAGATTACGGTTAAATTGAACAAATCAGCATATTGATCAACTGAATATTAACATTTCATTAAGCTGATTTGTCTAGATACTTATTGGACCTAATTTTTGAACATCATGTCTCAGTTACCGCCAAAATATACATAGTACGAAGAAACAGAGAAGAAAAACGAATAAATAACTATGATATCATATTCAAGGTGATAGACCTATTTTGTCATGCGGATCAATCATAAACCATATTTAAACATAAGTGAACGCAATAATAAGTATATATTTTGTTACATCCCAATAGGTAGGAAGTTTGATTTCTTATACTTCAGGACTTAATATAAGCCACTTTTTCAGAGTAAATACATAAGCGAAATAAAATAAACATAAGTTTAAATAGTGCGAAAGAAACAAAGTGGAATATTTTGCGTACAATCAAAATCATTATAGATCTGAATATGTAAATGTCAAGTTATCTTTGATCAAGTTGAATTAGTATGATATTGTTAGGATAGTCGGAAAAATATACCAATAATTATCGTGTTAAGTCTATGGTGGCCTTGGACCTTAAATGTACATTTCTTATTGGTCGATTTTTATTTCACTTGTTAAATATTTTGTAAATGTTGTTTCCTATTTTATGATACGATGTGGTTTGTTTGTTTGGTATATAAATAGAGTATGTCTGAAATACAATGATTCATAACTCAGAGGCTGTGACTTGCGTTCTTGACTCAACTGGCTAGGACAGACAGCGAAGCAGGGCCAATCAGGGCACCAGGTCGTCCACAACGTGTTTACGTGTCCACTGTCACTGTAATCGATCGATAAACGCTGCGTATCAAAACCTGCAGTCACACCACGTTACAACAGATATGTCATTGTATTATTTTTGTGTTGGTGGAGTTTTGTTCTCTGGGCTGGTCCACGACCAAACCATCCAGCTCAGAGAACAAAACTCCACCAAAATCACCCACCTGAGCTACAAATCTTCTGCACCATCTCATTAATTTGTGTGTCAGAAGGTGAATATGAGAAATGTATACATTTGTAGTACTCCCACATATGCTTTAACTTAATATCTAAGCAGCATACTGAAGCCACTTCAACATAACTTCACTAATGTAGTACAGGATTCATAAGAATTAGAATCAAATATCTCGTTATTATCCACCAACGATAACGAAACAATGGTAAACAATGATGTTGTAGCTTTATGCACTAGTATTCCAATTGATTAATGTCTAGACTTCGTGAATGATTTACCAGAAAATGAAAATACTCTATCTAGCATATGTCCATTAAGCATTAGTTCAAACATGAAATCGCTCAATCTATGCTTGAATTCAACAATATTCATTTTCAAAGGGACTTTCAATAAACAAACAAAAGGAGTAGCCTTGGGATCTCCATTATCTCCAATTGTTGCCAATTTATTTATGTCCCACATTGAGTCTCATATTTTCGCCAGTAACAACCGACCATGCATCTGGCCCAGATATGTACATAACACATTTGTCATCATTAATACTTTTTGGAAATTTCTTTAAACACAAACACGTTCTCGGAAAACATCAAATTCACTTTCAAAAAAGGAAGATGAACACAGTGAACTACCATTCTTCAAGTGTTTAGTTAAAATAAATTCTAGTGGAAGTCTAAATTTAAATTATTCCCGTAGTGTACATTCTGTACTTAATACTGATACATCACCTATAGGAACTAGTGCAGTTTTTGAACAGAAAGGTAGACCAGTAATTAGTGTTCCATGCAAACTTAGAGTTGCTGAACAAAGTTATTCACAAACTCAGTGAGAAGTATTAGCTGAATCTTGGACTGCTAAACGACTTCCTAAATATTTCTTTTAAAAATTTCACTATTGTTACTAATCTTAAAGCTCTAAAGTTCATTTATGATTCTGAAAAATCCTTAGCACGTATCTCAGCTGCTATGGTTCAACGACGGAGTACCGCTATAAGTACTTATAACCATACGATTAAGTCAAGAAGTCTCAAACAAATTCAACATGTCGACCACATTTATTGACACTCATTGCAAGATAAACCTGTTAATGTTGCAGATGGTTTATTAGTGAAAACTTTAGCGACGAGACGTTCAGATCTCACACGAGAAACTTGTCGACACTTTGGATGTATATTTAGTGATATTCGAAAAGTTTGGAATGATAATCTGAAACGTAGATTTCCCATCTATTTTTCAAAGCGGGATGAGTTATCCACCAATCTGGATAGTGTTTTCTGTTTAAATGATCGTTTTATTCCTCCTTTATTATGTAAATCTGTTCTTGAAGGTCTTCATAATGGATATTTTAGCGTCGAGAAAATGAAATCTTTGTCAAAGTTAAATGATGATATACGTCGTAGAGCAGACAATTATGTAGTATATTAAATCCAAAAATCATCCTTCGAATTGAACTCCATGGCCAATATCTTCTGTTACTCGCCAGAGAATTTATTTAGACTATTGTAGTTCATTTCCCAGCAAATAACTTGCACTTTTCTTCATTACCTCTTTTTTTTATGAGCCTGAGGCTCTTTTCAAAACTTTGTAATCTAAGCATTAGTGAAGGATTTTAGTCGGGAGATGGTCCCTATGGTATTAGTGACCGATCACGGATCTCATTTCGCTGCAGATACAGTCATTACCTAATTGAACGGTATAGGAGGTAGACATATGTTCACTGCTTTCAGGCGTTATATCTAAAACTTAGTTTCTTAATATACCGCGTGTGACCTGAGCACTCGAATGCCAGAACCCTCCCAAGTAGCAAATAAGAAGACAGAAGACTGAAGAAAGTGCTCGTTGGGCAAGAATCAAAATGTACAGAAAATCATGAGTATTTTCTAAATATTAGTGTCTGTTCAATCAATATTATAATTCAAGCAATCCGAAAAGAGGCATGTTATGTTACTGATCAATAGTAGCATACCGCGTTGTTATTTTAGAAAGCTTCATTACGTTCTGATTGAGTGGAACACTTCGCCTCTTCTAGGGCTTCTGACGACTCCATGATAGTTCATAGAAGCCGTCCCAACACCAGGCTTCCTTGTTCTAATGGTCAGGCAAAAACGTTTGTCAGGACGTTAAAAACTGCTACTAATTCCACTGCTGCTTCAAAGCCATTAAAAGGAAGGATTTCCCGTTTGAACATGAGGTTTTTTGAATCTGCAGAAGTTACATATTATGGTGGAAAGGATCTTCAATCATCCGAAAGGATTGTAGTGAAGAATATTGGAAAATCTATGGTTCGAATTCTAGATACCAATGATTTAAGTACACACAACTAACATGTCGATCAAATACAATCCCCGGAACCAGGTGAGTCTGTTCCAATTCCCACTGTTAATTCTAATACTAATGGATATACTCTAGATCATGCAGAATTTACATCCAATACACAGTCGGATAAACATACAATGAACCTAAAGAGAAGTACGATCGATCACAGAAATTCAAATTCCACTTCAAGCTGTTGCGGTAGCGGTAATTGTACTAATTGACGATTCCTTTGTACTTGATTGCACACTTATCACGAGTCCCAAATATGATACGTTCACTTGTGTTCATCTGGTTCCAACTGCTTTAAATCGCATTATTTTGGAATTCCTAGTAAACACATTAATTCGAATACTTCTAATCATCCTACAAAGATAACTTTGGTAGTGTAGTTATTAGTTCGTCCATAAACAGCTTTCATAAGTATTTTATTGTTTACGTTAATCAGTGTAGACGCTGACCATCTGCAGCAGCTCCTCTGTTTTTCATTACATATTTTCTACAGAATTTCATAGATCAGACACCATCTGACAATTGAGTCAAGTATACCCTCCACTTCTCTTCTTAGCTTATTGTGACCTTTAATAGACATGCTTGTAATTCTGCACATATACATTTTCTGTATATGTGTATCTGTACACTATTTATATTATCCATTCCCTTTCTCCATATTGGTAACATTTTGAGTGAGCGAGTGGAAATTTAAGGTTTATTAGTCGCCTCCTAATATGATTGTCTACTAATAACGGGATTTGCGAAATGAAGTTAATTCGTAACATCTCATACTTCGACTTTTGGATTCGACGTTGTACAAACATGATAAGTCAATGGTCAACTATGAAATGAAATATCAAATGAGTAAACATGAAACAGAACTCAGACAGTTACCGAAATCATTTATTGTGCATAAAAAATAAGCAAAACTGTATATTTCAATTCTCCGAAAATTTCAAATATATCGTGAAGTGTAATAAAAATACGCTGAATATCGATTCACTGGAATGCACTACTCACATTCCATCACATGTTCATTAAATACGAGTTTACAATCAGTTTTTACGAACAACTGAATTACAATAAATAAATGAATGAGTAAATATCAATGTACGACGTATAGAAATGAAGGATAAATTTATTTTCACTACAAACTAACAATAATGAGAACAGATTTCATGTGTTTGTTATTTGCAATTATTCTATACTCACTTCTATGTGTAAAAGTTAACAGTCAAGTCGGAAAAATAGTTAATCGCACATCGGAAATACATGATCTTCGAAGCTCAAAACAAGATAATGACCGCAGGGGAACGGTTACAAGAGATAACACAACTAAACATTCTCGGGAAAAAAATGAAGATTCACATTCAAGTTCAAGTGGCGATTTCGGATTCCAATCTTCACAACGAAAATTCCAACTCAAATACGCAAATCAAAGAAGAAGTGATATTTATACTACCGGTTACCAAACATTCCTCGGAAAACGTAGACGAGGCAGTAAATCACATGTGAAAACCATATTCAGAAAACGTTCTGGCTACAATCACAATGGTCAAAAGAAACGAAGTTCCACATTCGAAAGTTATGGTGAGGCAGACAGTTTCGATAGAAAGAAAATACGTGATGTGTTCGATGTGAATGGATATATTTCGGAGGGTCGAAAGCGTAGTAAACTCGGTGGATACATCCAAGAAAATCAACATGCGTTTATGTCAGGTGGACATAAGTCGCAAGCTTCTCGAAATGATATGAAATCTAGTGAGGGCGGAAGTCACACTGAAAGTGACACTCGTGATCAAAGTTCTAGTGGTCAACATTGGGAAGAAATTCATAGGTTTGCAAACAGTACCCCACCGTGACGTCGAAAATGAATTAAATAAATATCTTAAATTTACATGTCCACACGTTAATGAATATTCCTTGTTCGAAATTAATACTCAATTTCCCATTACTGTTTCTGCGTGAATCACATCAAATTAAACTATATCAACCATGAATTAGTGACATAAACTGACAATGAATTCCATCCATCATCTGTTCACATCAACAATCAATATGATTTTGTTCTTGCCAATCCCTCATTCTTTTCTTTAAAATCTTTTTTCACAATCAATGTGTGTTAGCTACATTAGGTACACTCTCATCATCATATTGAGTCCTCGTTTACGAAATTCACTACTTTCATCTCCCTCATCACCAGAAGATGAAATCTCTTGAAAACCATTTGTATTCTTCTAAATCACATTTGCAATCCCTAATAATTCACTGTAACAGACCATGCACTGTAAGAACAGGTGGGTAAATGTATTCGAAAACAAAATACACCACAAACATTTCCTTTCATTCACACCTATCAATCCAGTCAAATTGCACCGTACACTTTATCTATTCACACGTGGATTACCAATCATGTTATAGGATGAACATGGTAGTTGAAACAAGAAAATGATAGAATGATCGCGTTTCCGATGCACTTGTCTACGTATAAATTTCAGTGCTCTCATCCTCAATTGTCTTAGATGATACATACGGATGGTTATACGTAGACAACACATTGAACCCTGTTTACAATACATTATATAAGTCATATAGTTATTTCAAACTGAACTTTCTTCCTATAGGACGTAGTATTATAATGAATGTCTAATCCGTACACGACTATTTGAATTTCGGTTCCAACATCTCAAGTACATTCGGTTTCAAACTGAACCAGAACATGTCTTCGATACTTAGTAATTCTCTTCTATCCTTTTACATTGACTTTCACAAATAATTCAAGCACCACACCACTGTTGATTACAATCAGTTTAATTCATCTATCCACTTCACATCCATCACATGAAATGCCTTGATGATCGATTCGCAATGAAATATTTTTAACAAGTGAAATCTTCCGACATTTGGTTTTCAATTCATTAATCAAGATAAAGTGTGATTACTCTAATGACATGATATGGATAGGATTGACTCTGAGATCAGATGCATCTAGTTAGTAGGGATAGAAGGTCTTGTCGATTACATCAGTATTCAACGTAAACCAAACCACAACCATTTCACAATCAGTTAATCACTGAGTAGTGAACAATGTCTCGTATTTCATGTCCTTCATGATGCTGATAGATAGAAATGAAAATGTCAAGTCACTTACACTACTCTTAACCACATTCCAGTTTGATCTACAGAATTCAATCAGCTCATGAAAGACAAGAGATCTGAATCACTCAATTGATCCAACATAATGCTACATAATTTTGAGCCATTGGATTCCATTTAATATTAGATCAAGGCGAAGTTTACTGATCACCTAGACCTTTAATATTTGTGTATTCTGACAAATATAGTGTTACGACACATCAATTTTCAATTCACCACCAAGTAATGTAACATTCCCATCAACGCATAGGGTATAAATATGATAGTAATCTTTCAGTTGTAAGAAAATTACATCAGGTTTCTTTTAGCAAAATAAATGACAGATTTATTTCAGATATTTCAGCGTGTAATTGGCCCAAGTTGCCCCAGATCTTGGTTCATTTCGTATATATCCTAGACCATTCCTTTTACGTTCTTAATTTCGATTGGCAGAATAATTTTAATATTGTATCGTGAAAGGCTTCAATAATAAATGTATTTCAGATGCTAACTCAGTCGACCGAACGTAAAACACACAGAGGTTGTGTTGTAGTATATGCTATCCATAAGATCGTTTGTAAGTAGTGTGTGGCGGAATGTGACACCGAAGTTGCAACAATTGTCAGACGGAGTGAAAAGTTTCAAGACGTTGGCATAATACTTAGAAGCCAGTTGAAAATTCAGTACAGAAGACTGCAGAACACACTGAAAAGGCAAATAAAACAATTGAAGTCTAGGTATACTACTAACTTCTCGCAATAAGCACACTTTCTTCCTGCCTATTGTCGTGTTTTACATTAGGAAATGTGAATTACTTTATATGATATGTGTAAATTGGTGAGACCATCAATTGCTATCTTAATCGTTGAGCGAGCTTATGTAGTCGAAATAGTTTTTCGGATAAGATAAACAAACATAAGAACAGTCACACACACACACATATGAAAAGTATCCATAGATAAAAATTCCTAACTAATCATGTAGATAAGTACAAATTAATTAAAAGGATTAAAATAATACATAATTGTCTTGCGGTATACCCTTCCATCACAGTGTAAGCTTCCTGTGTTTCAAATAAATAATATCGAACTGCTGCAAGTATCATACAAACTCGAAGAGATTTCCGAAATATATTATTCTTATTCAAACCTTATCTAGTTGCTTAACAGATAATATTAGACAACGTATAGTTATTTGCGTAAAATAAATACAGTCTTCTAACGGAATCCTTTAACCTTATGAGACTATTTGAAAACAGTGTCTTAATGATGACATTTATAGGTATCTTATTATCTGTCATCACATAGATTTCTCACATTTTCATTTGCTTGCTTTGTAAGAACCGCGTCTCTGAGACATGCACTATTGTTTAGGAAATATAGATTGACAGCACTGTAACCAAGAATAAAGATAATTCTAAAGATAATCAGTTAAAGGATACACGTTAATTACTGACAGTCAGCTACATAGGTTCACTTAATTAAGCTATTTTCAAGTGGTTCCATCGATTTTTTTGTTATATTTATTTTCCAGTCGTAGAATTCTACTTTCCTAAAAAGTATCTCACTTCACCATTTAGCTAAGGAAAAGTCAATTCATCTGTTGCTAAACAATTTATTTTCCTATCGAAATTACTTTGCATTTGTCACAGTCAATCTCTGTCAAAAAAAAATTCACCGTGTTGGGAAAAGTAAACTTCTTTCAGAACCGAATTCATTTATAAAAATAAACGCTTGTTCATCATACAAATTAGCTGATATGTTTCATCAAATAATTTTATCTATACTACTGAGAAGTACAGAAACTTGGATTTCCACTTTAATGAAAATATATATAAACATGTATCTGTCAAGTAGATAAAACGTTGATATTCCTGTAAAATTTATACCAATTCATGTGAACCACCACTTCTTCAGTCAGTAGTCAAAAATATATAATAAATATATTTGTGACTAGAAGGGAAACGTGCGACACGTTTTTTTGTCAGATGGATGTATTTCCATTCCAGTGTTGATGTGTCATCATTGAACGCAAACCCGGAACCTTTCTCTCAACTGTATTATCAACTTAGCTACTGACTCCCTGCAACCACTTCAATATGGAATGGGTATAATTTTCAATTCAATGTCAACTAAAATTAACCAAAATTTAGTCAAAAATAATAACAACGTAACAATTCAAGAACCATTACAAATTGAATTAAAATTCATACTTAATGCATAAGTGATTTATTATTTGAATACAATCATTAAATGGATTACAAGTTGGGTGAACTTTAACTCCAAGATATAAGCATATCGAAACGACAAATCCTAAATGGAAAGAATAAATATCTTGGACTTTATTGTTAGCTACATTCTATCTCTTCTATAAAAAAGAAAACTTGAAATCAAAATATTTCACAGTGGCGTTAAATTAGATATATCAAATAATAATAATAATAATAATAATAATACATATTTCTCTATAATCAGTAAAACCTTATATGTGCGCTATTTAATGAACTTTAATTATACTGGAATACGTATTCGAACAATATTATTGATTAGGGGAACATTAAGTTAATTATATGATTGAATATATAATAGTAGTAAAAGGCACAATATGTATATAAGATATTATTATATGCATAAAACACATAGAATTTATATAAAACTTATTTATGATCAATTTAAAATTATTTACTTAGAATAAAATTATGAAATACATATATTTACTACTTATATCCATTATATTATCATTATTTATAACATTTATTAAATCTGATAATGATTATAATAATGATAATCAGAATAAATATTCATATCATCACAATCATAAAAGAAACTATCAATCTAAGAATGTCAACAGTAAATCAAAACAATATTCATATAACAAAGAAAAAAGGAATAGTAATGATGAAAATCATGAAAGAAATAAAAAATCTATTCGTCCTAGAGATCATAATTATGCATATCGGAATAATCATATAAAATCTCGTGGAAATAGTGCAAAAGGTGGCAGTTATTCAGAAAGTACATACTTCACATTACATACTGGAACAGATAGATATGGTCGACGAAATTATTATTCACGATTCCAAACACGTGGACGATCAAATGGTTATCGTGAAAATATGTTTTTTAATATTTTTGATGTAAACGGTGGTCTTAAAATGACACGGAGTAAAAATTACTTGACACAATCTGAAAAAAGAGATAGTTATATAAAAAAGAATTATATTAATAATAAAGATTATAATGCCAACAGGAATGAAAAGCCGGAATATCCAGAATCACCTGTTTTCAAAGATGGATACAGGTCATCGGACAAAAACCTTACTACTAATTATGGAAACTCGACTAACACATCAATTCCATTAGCCGGTAAATAATCCCAACTATAATCAAAAAAGTTTTGTAATTAATAATAAATGTTATTCATGTTATGCATAAAATCAGTTTACTTCTTCATTATTTAAAGAAAACTATTGTATTTCTTTCTATTTTAGTGAAAACATTGTAAAATCACTAGCAAAGGGTTATAATTTCCCGTTTCTAATATTCGGAACAGCAAATGATTAGATCTTTGTTCCTATAGATTCCTTCGAAGATTATAACCATAAACCTTTGTTTAGTATAATCGGCAAGTCCCTATTTTCTCAAAATGCATACAAATTGATGAACTCCAGTTCAGAATAACAGAAACAGGGAATCGGAAACTCATTCCATATTAAAAATTTCATACTCATTTAAAACCTAGTAGCTATCTGTATAAAGTAGCTGACTAGATAACAAGTTGAGCGTCTAAATCGATAAGTACCGAGTTCAAGCCCCAACATGACACATCCAACTAGAGTTCCCAACTAAAAGGAACGAGCAGTCAGATTTCTGTAACTAGACATATACCTGATATACTAAAACATTGGATAAACAATCTTTGAAAAATAAATCAAAAAACAGATATGCTTTTATCTCCATGCACGTCAAATCTCTTCACCATATTTTATCATAAACGGCCGACCAGTAAACAATCCCCTGTAACAAGATCATCCAAAATCGATTATACACAGACATTAGCTTATTCAATAAGACAATCAAATACAATACAAAACAATCTGAAAACAACACAGAATACTAACTAAACCACACAAGGTTAAAAAAATAATTTGCAAAACACCAGTGGTAAAATTAAATTAAAAATTGAAGTAAACAAATCTGTTCAAAAATTCAAAGCAAACTTTCTCATAGTATTAGAAATAATAAACAATGCAGATTATCAACAGAATAAAAACTAAAAATTAAAAAAATTTAGGTAGGACAACAAGAAACGTTTATATTGGCAAGATTAACTTTAGAACCATAGAAAATTGATACAGAATACTCAATTTGTTTTATCGAACCAAATAAAAAAATGTTTCTATGTTGATCTACACAAAGACTATGGTATATCAAATGTGAATCTAGTACAAAAGAACAGCGATACCTTTGTTATTCTTTGAGTAAACATTTCCATATACTAAAATACTATTAGTCAACTGATATAAAATACGAAATCAGAAGAATGTTACAAAACAAAAGTCAACTTATGTAAAGTATAAATAATAAATTGTGTGTGAAGAGAAGATGAAATAGAAATTTACAAACACAAAACCGGGCAGTAACAGATAATCATAATATTACAGAACACAAAAAAGCAACATATACGTCGTCAACTAGTACATTCCATATTCGAAAAAACATAACTGTAAATACATTGATCGAAATTCTCAAAAACGAAGAAAAATTTCTTATTTTTGCCATTCAAAACACATTCATAGTCTTCAACAGGAAACCGAGTTATTCAGCACTTGCTTGTTCACAGAATAACTAGTCTCATCAGTGAGTAGGTCTGTGTACTTACTAAAATCTCAATGGATGTATCTATCAAAAAGTGTTTAGGAAGTAGCGAATAGTATACATTTTCTCAATCTCGTTTCTAGTCTCTATTTAAGGAGAGATTTTTCACAAAGCATTGCGTCGTTTATCTAACAACAATTCACCCTTACCACTAAGTTGAAACATAACAAACAATCGATTACTCAAGTGCATCTTCATGAAAGTGAATTGCGAACATTACATAAAATTGCAATTCCAGTCAACAAGTATGCTGAAAGTGGATAGGAAATACATTACGGAACCCATCAAACTACATCACGAGACGAGCGTCAACTTGAAATCTTGGTGGGAAACAGAGAAGAGGAAGACCAAAGAATAACTTGTGTCGATAATTGCAAGCAGACATAAAAAGGATGAATTATAAATGGGAACAAGTGGAAAGGATTTTCCAGGACAGAGTTGCATGGAGAACTTTTACCGGGGCCCTTTGAACCACAGATGCTATTAGAAGTATTTAAGTAGATAAGTAAAGAATAAGAACTGAACTTGTACATATATATTTTTGTAACGTGTGAGAATGCAGGTTATGATAAGCAGCGCATTTATCGATCGCTTCTGTGACAGTGACACGTAAACACGTAAGGACGACCTAGCGCCCTGATTGGCCTTGCTTCGCTGTCTGTCCTAGCCGGTTGAGTCAAGAACACAAGTCACAGCCTCTGAGTTATGAATCATTGTATTTCAGACATACTATATTTATATACCAAACAAACAAACCACTTCGTACCATAAAATAGGAAACAACATTTACAAAATATTTAACAAGTGAAATAAAAATCGACCAATAAGAAATGTACATTTAAGGTCCAAGGCCACCATAGACTTAACACGATAATTATTGGTATATTTTTCCGACTATCCTAACATATAAAAAATTCATTGTATCATCAAATACATATACAAGAATATAATAAACACTGAACTCAATAAATATTACTACTGAGATGGTGGAGAAGATTTGTAGCTCAGGTGGATGATTTTGGTGGAGTTTTGTTCTGTGAGCTGGATGGTTTGGTCATGGAGCTTTCATCGTTCTTCTGAACGACATCATCAGCACAAACTTCAGATAGAAGTGAATTGTTTGAATTTCTCCATATGTGTCTCAAAGCTTGTTCTGTGCACCTCGACGTTGATTGGTTCTTATTGACCTTAAATTTGTCGTTGTTTACTTCTTTGTTTTGGTTGTGTCTCCCATTGTTTTGATTTTTGTTCTTATGTTTGTGCATGATTTTTCTGATTGGTTGGTAAATTGGATTGATTTCAATATGCTTGTTGATTGCTGATTGACTTGAGTGCCAGGCTTCTAAAAATTCTCTGGTGTTTTTGGAGTTTCCTCTGTCTAAGATTTCCACATTTTTCCAGTCGAATGAGTGTCCACAGTTGTCCACGTGTATTGAGATAAATGAAGAGATATCATGCCGTTTGACTGCTAATTGATGTTCATGTAGGCGAAGGTGAAGGGGGCGTCCACTTTGTCCGATATAGTGTTTTTCGCAGTTGGCACAATTTATCTTGTAGATGATTTTTGATTTGTTTTCCTTTGTTATTTCATCTTTTGGTTTGCATAAGATTGATTGTAGTGATTTTTAGAAGCCTGGCACTCAGGTCAATCAGCAATCAACAAGCATATTGAAATCAATCCAATTTACCAACCAATCAGAAAAATCATGCACAAACATAAGAACAAAAATCAAAACAATGGGAGACACAACCAAAACAAAGAAGTAAACAACGACAAATTTAAGGTCAATAAGAACCAATCAACGTCGAGGTGCACAGAACAAGCTTTGAGACACATATGGAGAAATTCAAACAATTCACTTCTATCTGAAGTTTGTGCTGATGATGTCGTTCAGAAGAACGATGAAAGCCCCACGACCAAACCACCCAGCTCAGAGAACAAAACTCCACCAAAATCATCCACCTGAGCTACAAATCTTCTCCACCATCTCAAAGTCATATGAGCGTAATACGCTTCTCGTTGTTCGAAAATGGGAGAATTTCGCCAAAATGCAGGCTTCCACTCGAGAACAACTATATTTTCTCCATGAGTGTCTTCGGCAGCATGTTCTACCAACAAGTGTAAGATATAGACCTTCAATGAACTGCCCATTAGGATGGAAAATAGCTGAGCAAAGTGGAAGAAAAATGGTACACCTAATGATAACGGATGCACACTACAGAATCCGCAAATACCAACACGTCATAGAGGACCAAAAGATGAAGTTACACAGGACACTTACGTCAGAACACTTGGAAATCTTGACAACAGCCATCGAGATATCACGCAAACGACACAGAGAACAAAGAAGGAACGCCTTAAAGAAAAAACTGATCAAGATCTCAAAACCACCCATGGAAGAAAACACAAACAACTGCGTGATAAATTTGTCAAAACAACCATTAACAAATACGGAAGAGCACCTACTCCAAAAAGGATTAAACTACAATACAAGCGACGCCTCAAAGCTGGAATTCTTCGCAGCACTGGAGTCATCACTCAAAACTTCGGGAATCAGTGAAGAAACACAACAAGAAATAAGGCAAACTATAGTACTGCTAACTCAACGTGCGAAGGAAAACAACCAACTGACTCCACAAGAACAAAAGGCCTTAAAAGAACTCAAAAATAGAAAGGATATCGTCATAATACCAGCGGACAAGGGACGCACCACAGTAATCATGGACAAAGAAGAATACGTCAAAAAAAGCCGAAGAACTACTAGAAGATAAGAGCACATACAAACTGATGGATACAAATCCCGTCAAAAAATTAGACAACCAAATCTCAAAGACCTTAAACAAGCTAGTCAAAGCAGGAGAAATAACAAAACAAGAACAATGGAGAATGAAATCCAACGGACCAGTACTTCCTCGATTCTACGGTAGACCCAAAATACACAAACCAAACATCCCACTACGTCCAATTGTAGCACTACCCGGAACACCAACGTACAATTTGTCAAAAGAAATTTCAAGAATACTGAGACATTTAGTAGATTCAGCCAACCACTCAATCAAATCCCCTACACAATTCCTGGACCAAATTAAGGACATCCAAATCAACAACGACGAACTGATGATATCCTTCGACGTGACAGCACTATTCACTTCAATTGAACCAAAATTAGCAAAAGAAACTATATCCCTGCTGCTCAACAACGACACAAACCTCACTAAATACACGAAGCTTCAAATTCAAAGTCTACAGGAACTCATCAATTTATGCCTAACAACATACTTTCAATTCAACAACAAAATCTACGAACAAACGAAAGGGACCCCAATGGAATCACCAATATCAGGATT